GATAACGTAGGATAAGCATGCCGATGGCATGATACCTAAACAAATGTGTGCTTTTGTGACCATAGAATTTCGCTGTCACTGCAGTTGTGATCAATCAATTCCGTGGTTGAAGCGCACTACCGTAATGAATTGTTTCAACGTTTGGGAAAACAAAATGGGGCTTATAAAACGGATTATATCGTCTACTTCCGTAGGCTGCATGGTAAGCTATAGAGGTGCCACTGTTGTCTTTCGCAACTACTTCCACGGGCTTTCGAAGGAATCTCCAGCACTAGCCTTTATCGTATTTGCTGTTACTACGTAGGGTCTTCGAACAGGACTGTGCGAATAGTTAGAAAAATGTATCCACTCACCAACTCTGGTGGTAACCAGAGTGGATGAATTCTTATTTATCCACTGAGCACCAGCTTTCGATATGTGTGGGCACCAGGGCACACATATAAATTTTTAATTATACACTGGGTGCCAGCGCACAGATGAAATTAATAAGGTGCACCCAGGGATTCCGGAGGCGATGGTACTTGCTTTTCCCAAGATTCGGAATTAAAAACAGCGCGAAAAGACGAAGAGAGACAAAGAAGTGACACGGACGTGGTGCTGACTTACAACTGAGTTTATTGAACGCGAAATCGCAATATATATTTGCGGTGTCACGAACAAAAGAGAAGAAAGAATTCAGCCCATGTGATGCATCACCAATAAAAATAAAACAATGATAAAAAATACATATATATGCAAAAAAAAAAAATGCACCATGACACAGCCCTACAGAGGACGTGCTAAGAAACGAGCAAGTCAGGGAACCAGAAAATTCTGGTTCCCTAATTTCATGTGTACGCAGTCCTTCTGTGGCCCTATCAGGCAAAGAGGTGAATTTTCTGGTTCCCTGACTTGCTCGTTTCTTAGCACGTACTCTGTAGGGCTGTGACATGGCGCATTAAATTGTTTTTGTATATATATATGTATTTTTTATAATTGTTTTATTTTTATTGGTGATGCATCACATGGGCTGAATTCTTTCTTCTCTTTTGTTCGTGACACCGCAAATATATATTGCGATTTGGCGTTCAATAAAATCAGTTGGAAGCCAGCGCTAAGTCCGTGTCACTTCTTTGTCTGGTGCTCGTGTTTTTAATTCCGAAGTATGTACCAACTCGCCCAAGCCTCAACTTTAGCATCGTTCTTTTCCCAAGAGCTCGGGAGAGGGGGGCTCCTGAGCTCCCCCTATGGCGTTTTGTACCTCTACATTCTCCAACGTGAGGTCATGATCTTGATGAGCTTCGACATCTTCAGGATAAATGACTCAGTATCTTGCGCTGGGACACAAGACCTTTCAATTTTCTTGCGGTAAAAAAATAGGCCTCTTAGCACCTCCTCATTGAAGAGACGGAGTGCTGGGCCAACCCTCATCTTTTTAAAGCCGTTAGGAAAACAAAATAATTTTCTGATGTGAGGCCATAACCCTTAACGTCCCATTTTCAGTCACTTCTCCAAGCCTTTCTAATGCAGTCAGCGTGCACAGGACCCTTTGGTGTGTCCAAACCAGTGTCTATAAAACCGATTTAGCAGATACTTTACAGAGCGCGAAAAGTCCAAAAAAAAAAAAGAGCGTAGAGGACGACTGTTATGACTGCCTGCATTACATGAAGCATAGTCTCTCTGCCACTCCTTTTAACGTTGCGGGACCACGACTGACGCCGATCGATCTCGAGAGGGGCACGAAAAAAGGAACGGGCTCGGGACCCAGGAATTGAGGTTAGGGAGGGGGTTAGGGAGGGGGGGAGGGGGGGGGCATTGAAAATATAAGAGTCGTTGTGAATTAAGGGGGTGCCTTCGGAAAAACAAGGGGGGGAGTACACACCCCGTAGGGGGGTGTGGTGAAATCACTGCCCCGGCACAGAACACGTCCCGTCTCTCTTGTCCCGCCGTTTTTCCCTCATTGCACGCGTTGTCTACATCCCACTGAACGGCACCGATCACAATCCACTTCACTCAACGACTAAAAAAAAAAAAACTGCAGCAAATCAAGGCGACAACGCGAACCACGCGATCACAAGTAGTAAGAAAACGCGGCAATCCGAGCGGGAAGGAGTACGCCTGTTACCCGCAGCGCCCCCTGCCGTCCTTGCGCGCCGTCATCGCTGCGCCGACCTCCTGCCTCCGTTGCTTCTCGGCATGGAAGACACACTGCCCAGTTCTAGTATACCATACCACTGGTACAACACCGCCGAGAATGCAGCTGGGAAGTCTCTATAGCTAAGGCCCCTGTATACTATACTTACTGCAAGTCAGAGCGGCTGATGGCCAAAAAGGGAAATTTCGGAAAGGCCATGGTCATCGAGCGATTAGACACGAGCGCTGCGTTACAGTTCGGAACGGCGTTCGAGCTCGAGATCGGGACCAAAGATCTCGGCCGCGGACCGTCCACATAAGATGGCAAACAGAAAGAGAGGAAACGTGGCAGTAGTTACAAGAGAATGTTCTTCTCAGGATCCAGGAAGACGGGACGACTTTGGATACGCTCCGCGGCGAGCATAACGATTGGGCAATGAAGTTTTATTCGACATGTGGTGCCATGTTGTGCGGGATATTAGCCACTCTGAAACTGCCCGCGGTCGCAATCATTGAACTCGATCCCGAGCTCGAATCTCTAACTGCCTTGCCGACCCCTGATACAGTGCTCGTGTACAATAGTTCGGTGACTAGGTTTTCCTCAAAGTTTTTCATTTTGGCTACCAGCCGCGCTGACTAGCAGACGACCGAGCGCCAAACATCTTCGGTCCGCCACGAGCTCAAAAAGGCTCACGTCTCCTCGTTCCACTCCTTCATAGGAAGAAAGGCGTAACCGTCGTCGAGATTGTGTGAGTGGCTGTCAATCGGCAAGGGAGTTTCTGGACTGTACAGAAATAGTGTTTTCGATTTCTTTTTCAGCAAATAGTTTTAGTTTTGTGCATATATCCGTTATTCTGACTGCTCAGTGCCTCCATCGATTTCTTGTACCAACACCGGGCGAACGTCGAAAATATATATAGCAACAAGACGTAGCATCAAACTCGCATCGCGGTAGGAACCAGCTGAAGATAGATACCTGTCTCTCGCCTGTAAATCGCTCATCTGCAATTCAAATGGCATATTCTTATAGCTTCTATGCTAGGTGAGGGCCTATCGGGGCGCGGATGACCGAAAGTTCGAAAGATGTTGAAGCAAAAAAAGAAAAGAAAAAGAAAAACTAATATATATCGTGCCAAAGTTCCTAATACAAATGCCTAGTGATAAAATTTAACCGAAAAAAAAAACATGAATTGCATAGAAAAGTAATAGCAGAGAAAATGCAAGACAGGATCGATGCAATAGGCAGCGGGTTTACGTCCAAGCATCCGCGCAGTAGCGGCTAGAAGCGAGGCGCGAAGGAAGAATAGACAGGTTGCAGAAAACACCAATCTCTGTAGCGTCTGTCGCAGTGTTCCCACGGTGAACTCTATAGAGCGCTGCTGCGCCGTGATAAGACATTCAAAAATGAATGTCCGAAACTTAAGTTGTGTCACTCAACCGCACCAAGCCCCCTGATGTGCCTAGCGCAGGGTTGGTATAGAATTTCTCTTTTGCCACCATACTGCAAGCATCGGACGCCTCATTAAGATACTCGCTACAGTCACGGACAGCTCAAGAAACGCCGAGTATGGCTTAAAATGTTCACGCTTGAAGCTTCGTTCCTCGACTGTCATTAGCGCCTAATGCCACAATATCACCTTACACTGTCAATGATTATAATAGGGGAAACACGTAACGGCCCCCAGGGTAGCTCGAGACCAGTCAGATTTCAAACCACATAGATAGCGTAAACAGACCGGTTCAAGGTCAACTACCCCTTCAGTTCTGATATAGGCATGTCTCGTAATTATGACCACCTCTATTCCCTGAAAAATAAACAAAAAACAAGAAAAACGTTTATATTGCGAGTTGTTTAAAATAACGATAAAAGAAATATGTGCGAACGAGTATTTCACTAATTCGTCCCCGAAAATGTTGTCCGTACAGCGGGGGTACCTATATTAAAGGGAACCATATTAAAGATATATCAGTGTGTATCCTTTCTTTCGTCCTTATTTTTTTGGCGAATGGACCGGACCAGGCGGATTTTTTCGGTCGCTCACCAGTCACCTAGCTGTGTTTGGAGATTTATGTTTGTCCCTTGTCCCTCTTGTTCGCCTTCTCCAGGGATTATTTTCATCATTATTGTTCAGCTCGCTTGCCCCTTTGCATTTAATTGCATTATAAGGATACATCTCTCGCTTACCCTGGAAAGGGTGCTTCTCCTGATACAGCGGTGCGCTGAGGAAAAGCAGCGCTGGCAGGCAACTGCTTGCCCGTGTTTCTCCGATCTAATGATACCTAACCAAGAACCAAAGTACCCAACCAAATTCTAATTGTTTCAAACTCTTTTTTTGATCCAGTCGGTATTTAGACACACCAGACGCATGGCATGCAACGCTGGGACATTCCAGTATTTCATGTCTGTGCGTGGCGTCAGGGCAGGGCTTGTCAGCGTAGCCGCGCGCATTTCTGCAGTGCACGGCAGCTCCGTGGGAAAGCGCACTCAACGTCTGCTAAAGCGGCATGCCACTCAAAAATACATTGTAATCGGTTACTATATAGCCCAATAAACCTTTCACCAAATCATCCAAGCACCAAGAAAAATGCTGGGAGCGGTTACGCACACAAGGCAGGAGCTCACCTTGTCCGAATAAAAGATTCAAAGTAAATAATCAAATGAAGGTGTTGACGAACACATGTCTGAGTACTACTGGGTTTGAGTTATCAATTTATAGTAGCTATTCCTGCAGACGCCATCACGTGCAGCGCGTGAAACTACACTCGCAGCATGATCCTTGGTGCTTGCTCAATATGGAGCGAAATGTCTATTCCAGTCACTGAGTTCAGGCATTTCAACTGAAATTTACACGCAAATGCAAATTAAATTCCAATGCAGGAGGCACCACCACCATAAGTAAATGCAATTTATTAAAATGAGCACAAAGAAACACAGATGTCTGATTTCTCAGAATATGGATTAAAGCACCAATTAAAATTACTACCAACTACTACCATTTCCCATAGGCGAAATAAGTGGACAAACATCACACCACTGAAAGGTAAAGAGACAAAGTACAAAACAATGACTAGTTGAACTAGTGACTCAATATTATTAACAAGGTAAGTAGAATTAATGAGGCTAGACACTTGATGAGACTGCCAAATATCTCCGAGGGCGAAATGTTACGCTCGGTAAGAGGCGCAGTGGAAGCTTGTGCCGAAGACCCAAATATAAAAATATCACAAGCTCATTCATCCAACAGAACATCTGCGGGCATGCATGCACGTGGTCACTACTGTACCATGCACAAAACAGTGACTCAGCGACCAAAATTTAATGAATACGAGGTTCACCACTGATTCAATAACAGTCACACAAACGATCTTCTCCCAAAAAGAAGATAAATTAAGAAAAACTAACATAGAACATGTTCAGAGAACAAATGCAGACATCTCCAGGTTTCCTTCGATTCCTTTTTTCTATCGTTTTTACAGCTTGGATGTCCTCTTCTAAATACTCAAAGTTGTTGCCAGTTTAACCCAGACAAGGAGGTCAGATGTGCGCAGGCATGGTTAGAAATAAGTTGCATGCTAAACATAGCCTAGCTTTGTGAAAAGAAGTGTTCTTATATGCTCTGCCCTTTTATGAACATGCAGCTCCTGTGCGCAAGAGCCCAGAAATTCAGTAGAACTAGATTTCTGTAACACACCCCAGGTTACTAAGAGATTAATACCCGGACCCTGGAGTGCGTTGAATAGATTTTCTAAGCAGGTATACTATCACAGGCTTCGGAAAACAAAGTTAGCAGTCTGCTGGCACATTTATAAGGAAAACAAGGCCCATCAGATTGGAGCATACACTCCACTTTCTGTATCTTCAACATGAATTGGTAGAGTTTGTTTAGGTCAACTAAAATAATCTATTCTAGTAGCCTTCGAAAAACAGCAGATGCTAAATATTTAAAAAATAAAAGCATGAAATTCAACATCCATTGACACCAATAAAACAGAAAACAGTGAAGTGGTTGATATCGCCACCTATACGTGGACCAGTAGTAGCAACAGCCTTCAGTACATCAATGGGAGCCATCTAATGGCACCACTGCCAAAGAAAAAAAGGGGCAAGTTCGAACATGTTTTCACATAGTGAAGAAACTTGTTACTATCAGGTATTCATCAGCTTAGACTTAAAACGATTAATTCTGTCTTTAGAGATCAAAGCATTCAGCTATTTACAAATACAATTAGTCTTGGATGCTGCAGTGTCAATTTGTGCAGCGCTTCATCTGAAAAGACACATCTGGGCTGCGAACATAACCCAGACACAAGGTGTAAGGCAGCAAATGGAGCAGGTTTTATTAATTGCCATCTTGGCATTGATTACCTTCAGATCTGTTTGGACTTGGAAGAAAATGTGTGTAGTGTGTATGTGTTGCGACGCATAACGCATTACGATACCATTATGCAACTTTCATCTGTAATGCTCAGAGAAAAAGGTGGTACATAATGGGTTTACCAAGAGAGTATTTAGGACTTATTTCGTGCAGTGGCTAGGTAGTTCGCAATTCAAGTTTCCTTTTTTTTCAGACAACACACAGTGTAACACACCTGCCATAAAGGTGTCGGGAGGAATGCGAATCCTGAAACACTCCCTCTATGATTGATAAACAAACCTCATGGGAAGCCCCGGAATGACAAATGTTGAGATGAATTTCTCAGGGTCAACAGACAAATTCTCTATGCGAAATGGCACCTGCTGAATTCGGGGTTCAGACAAGGTTCCTTTTTGAGCCCTTCCTACCCCTTACTATTGCTTCTCTGTTTTGTTTGGAGTACCTGAAATTTTCATGTGACTCGGACAGTTTCAGCACAACCTAACCTTCGAGTTTCATAACTTTGTTATAATTCAACATATTTTTTCAAAGCAAGCTTCATTAAAAACGATGCAGCTTTGGCCATTTTGTGGAAGTCTAGAAAGTTCTATTTCAACAGAAGTTTGGACTCCTCGAGCTAATAAAACCTTAATTGGAATGCCTTCTTGACCTCCTTTTATAATGCCCAAAAATAAATGTGTTAAGAATTATAATATTAGATGAAAATTAAATTAAAAAATTGAATTGTGAATAAAGTGAAGTTTGTTGAGTTAAGGTCTGAAGTAGGTATGCTGCACACCTGGCGAAGTTTGAGTTTGACAAGGTTCGACTTCTTCGAAATCAGTGCAAACTCTGAAAACAAAGTTCAACTGAAGCACGACTAGTGTGCACATAAGTAAAAAGTTAGAATGAGGTGATGCCACCTGGAATGGGAGGGGTGCAATATTTTTTGGGTATACTGTTTCACTGCTTCACATTAATAAACCAACAAAAACAATTAAAAGTTTGTATGTTTGTATTTTTGAGCATAAGCATTGGAAACCATTCAATGCTTAAAGCAAACTACTGTATAACTTTCCAAAAATACAAAAGTTTTGAGTAGAAGTAGAGCAACATTTTAAGTTAAAAGTTTGAAGGTTTGTCGAACAAGTCAAACCACAGGTTTGCCAAAACAATTTGCAACATTCCTGGCCTGAAGGGTACAATAAAGGAGGTAGTTTCAAACCGCCAACTCATTCAACTTCCGTACCACAATTTGTGAGACGTGTGGGCATGCACTGTCGTGCAGGAGGATTGGACCCTTTCGGGTGACCAGTGTCGGCTGCATATTGAGTGCACTCCTCTCAGGTGTTCACAGCATGATTCTGCAGCAATTCTTCTCCCAGGCGGCAGGAAGGAAAAATAGATAATTCCAACGATACACCCCCCAAAAGTGATCAGTCCTCTTTATGTTCAATTTGGGCTTAGGGAAGCTCGCCAGGCAAAGAAAGTTTCCCGTTATAATAAATAATTAATTTTTCATCATGACAGAAAATGGCAGAGGAACGAGTTGTAGCTGAGACTTCCAATTGTGTTGGTTGACTGACTGGACTATTATGACACAAAAACACCCAAGGCCGAACCATCTTAGTAGCTTTGTGTTGCACAAATTCCATGACCTCACTATGTGCGATCTGTCTGACTGTGTGGGACCCAAGCTTCTTGATTTTCACCATCAATAATTTATAAACTTTCATCACATTGGTAAAGACATGTTGGTTCAAATGAAGTTTATTTTAATTATGTTAAATTATAACAGTTATGAAACTTTGGAAATTAGTCAAAACTTGAAGGATTACATGACATGACCAGTTCTAGCTCTAATTGAAAGAAATATGCATTACTGTTAAGTGAGCCATCCATATATAACAAGTCAGCTAAGTTGCTACTGTGAGGCATAGAAAAATGCAATTTAATTAAATCAATATTAACTCCACTTTATATCATTAGTACAGTCAGCAGAATTCCAAGAATGAATTACTTGACTTGTGTAAGGTTGCCTGTAATAGACTAGAAACCCACTTCGACCAGTATAATGACTGGTGCAGACACAAAGTTTGCAGAATACTAATTTGTCATCTTTCTCCCCAAAATCAATCACTTCAGAATTCGTTTGTTACAAAGTCAAGCCAATAAAATGATGTTAAATGACACCAGCAAAAACATTGGTAGAGGCAAATATTTCGTGAGACATCTCCATTAGCTCAACTTTATAATAGTTAGAATAAATGCACCGGGCATGTGACATCTCTTAATGAGAGATAGTAGTCTGCAGCCCACTAATACCTCTGTAGTCGGCCTCAAATATTTTGTGCTACGTTGTCAAGGCTAGCATAGTTTCTGCAGTGCGCTCAATGCTACCTGTGCGAGCGGATGCAAATGAGCTGCAAGGCAAAGTCACGTGTTCGTGACTTTGCCTTGCAGCTCATTGGCTACCCTAGTTTCTACAGCTCACTGTGGAAACTAGGGTAGCCAATGACAACATAGTATGACACAGCTACTGCCAAGTATACTGAAAGGTTCACTAGGTAGTATCAGCTCTAAGTATCTATACACCAACTCATAAGTAGCCTCGAACATCAATAAGTCAACGCTGCCTGTAAAGCCAAGCAAATGGCAAAACGAGGCAGGTGTTACAAAGAGTTCAGACAAATAACACGTATGAACACGAAATCGATCCCGGAAAACAAAACGTCAGCTCGTGATCCACGACAATGAGACACAGTTGCCCAAGCTGCTGCCACAATTTCACCCGAGTCGAATGGCAGATTGGCCCGAAAGACTAGGTATTTGCACTCGGGCAACGCAGCACAACCCCAGCCAGAAAACAACGAAGTGTCCACAGTGCCAAGCCGACGACGGACAGACACGAGATGTCAGACCCACCGCCGCAGCTACTTGCAGTTGGGCGGGATGATCTCCTTCCACCATGTGTCGGGGAACATGTACTTCAGCACCTCGATTCCCTCGTGTGGTGCTGCCACCTTCGTTCCGAGGAACGGGACTACGTTCATCGGCACCGCAATCAGCTCGGCCGGAAAGCAGTGGAGGATGTGGCACGCGGTGGGCGGGATCAACCTGTTCTTCCAGCCCACCTTGCGCACCTTCCGAACGACCTTGTCCTCCTCAAACACGTGGAGGTACGCCTCGCAAGCATCGCTTCCGCCCGCAAGTGCCGTCTTGTAGATTCCGTTGGCGGAGTCGTAGTGCGCAAGAACGCCGTTCTGTCGGAACTTGCGAAAGAGCCGACCCTCGTCCACGCCGCTGAGTTCCTCGTTGCGGAGGCAGAGCTCGACACGCTTGGTCCATGGCAGGGGCCCCTCGTGCTTCAGGGAGCCCCAGAGCGCGTAGTAGCAAAGGTAGCCCGTGAGGCCCAGCGAGTCGAGCGAGCTTACCACCCTGGGAAAGAGGGACGTCAGGCATTGGGGCGTCTCGGCGGTACGCCCGCAGCCGCTCGTGTCTTCGGACTTGAGGACGTAGTTGAGGGTGAGGAGGAGTGCGCCAGCCAGGACGACGAAGGCAAGTGCCCTCTTGCGACGGAAGTGGGGGAACTTCATTTCGGTTTATGGAGCTTCAAGTTCCTGTTAAGCAAAAGCAGAGAAAAACATTTTTTTGAGTAGGGCTTTTGAGCCGGGTGCAATGGTGGTGCATCGTAAATGCACGCTGCGTGACACCAAGAAGCAACAAGATGGCTAATTGGGCTAGTCGGTTTGTGCTTGTTTGTATCAAAGGGACTCGGAAAAACGGGACAAGAAAGACAGGACAGCACAAAACATTCTCTGTGCTGTTTTGTCTTATCCCCGTTTTTCTGAGGCACTTTCATCCGAACGAGCGCTGCGAAGGCCTGCTCACACACTTGCGTTTGCTTACGACCTAGTTCTTTGAGATCTCTTAAGACTAGAGTAGTGTAACAGTATATGCTCCTTGCGGAGCAGAGTATTGCAACAGTGCTCCCAGGTCAGCCATGTTGGGTCCAGGGCCGCACAGCGGGGAAACGACCCTTGCTTCTGCAGGAGACCCAGAGGTGCAGATGGCATGGCTGTGAGGTCGTGTGCTGCGGCGTGCGGAGCAAAAAAGATATAATGCGGCGCTGCACCACGTGCGTGCTGCCATCCCGTCATTTGTTTCCCATTTCTATTTATGCCTTCGGTAGATCATAGTAGCCGACAAAAATGGTGTCTTTTCGCAAACCATAGCTGCGTGTTGTTGTCTGGTCCAAGGTGCCCGGATGCGCCGGCCACGTATCACTCCGTGAACGCTGCAGGAACAAGCAACGCGACAGTCCTCTGTGCCGTTTGCTTCTCAGACTTCGGAAACGTGTTTTGAAATGTCGCTCACGTCATAAAATTATACTGTACCCGGTGGCTATACACAATATTTAATGGCCAAGGAACCTTCCAGTTCATTCGATTCTAGTGTAGGATGTATATTTCGCAAATGCAAAGCGAGAAACATGCTCTGCCTGAAATTCGGCACCTGCAAGGTCACTTTTCTGCATGAACGTTGAATTCAGGTCGGCGCAGGTGACCGCTTCTCCACCAATATGAAGTTGGTGGCGAAAGGAATAGAATGTGATAGTCTGGCTCTGCAAGCAGAGCCTATGCTGAGTGCAAGTTTGTCTGTTTCTTGCACAGGCGTTGCAATGATGTTAGAACGCCAAGCTTTTATTGGATGATTAAAAATGAATAGTGGGTAAACCTTAGGGCCTCTAGCATTGAGGTCTACCCCCTATGCTTCCAATCAAAAGCCAATTAAGAATTCGGCGTCGTTTTGACGCCACCACAACCCTCAGCGCAAGAAGCAGACGACTTGCTCTTCAAATACAGTTACCCTAGACGAGAGAACACACTGGCGCCATTTATGAGGTGATCCTGGAACTGCTTTTCACTAGAGTAAAGATTTCGCGATATTTTCGAGATCAAACGCATGTACAATCTCTGAGAAATGGTCGTTCATAACATTGTCAAACGATTTTTGGGCCAAAAAAGAAAGTGTAATGAGTGAAAAAAAAGAAAAGGAAGAAGAAATATACATAAATGCCAAGTGCAGTGATGGAAGCAGCCTTTGACCTTTGACCTTTTGTAGGAGGTTCTGTAGCAGGCAAAATATTGGTTTTGAGCAGCCATTGACGCTTTTGGAGTAGATGCCAACGTCTGTTAGCACATCACACGAGAATGAAAAAGAGATAGCTACAATAGTGATCAAGGGCTTCTCTTTTATACTCGAGCATATTTCTTATTACCGTTTGTCATAAGAATATAGTGAAAAAGGAACAGTCTTCCTAAATAACGCTCTAGTCAGAGTAGGTTTCATTTACAATGGGCATTAAAAAATGCTTGAAAAGTTCATCAGAGTGCAACATTTCATAGGGATAAATCCTCTCTCCCCTTTTCATTTTACACTCGGCAGTTTGTTGACCGTAACTATAATTTCCGTAAAATGCCAGTAAGAAACAGCATGTCCGCTAACACGTCTACCAATAAAATGCGTCCCGCAAGTTTAGTGAACCTACCAAACTCAAGACTAATACCAAAAACTGCAAAAACAACCACAAAAAAAAAAAAAAAATAAATAAAAACCTACACGTGCTTTAAATATCACACTGCTCTTTAGCAGTGTAGGAACCAGAGTTATGTCAAAGTTCGCTGATCTTTCGATCGGCAGCTGCACGGGAACTAGTGACTAACGTATTTATTCAAATACGTATAGACCCGTGTTTTCTCTCTCTCTGCTCAGTTTTTGTTTTTCTAAATAAGAGATTACCTCACAATCAGGACAAACGAGTTAAACCTGTAATAATCCTGAGCATAATTTCCGTGCCCATCGCGCTAAACCAGGTGTTCCCTCAGGTCAGTCACTGCTCCTAGCACTCTGGTGCAAAGCGGTGAAGCTAGACGCACGCACGCTAGTGAGAGACTGTGAATGTTGACGCCGGCGGCGCAAGTTCCACGGTACCTGCAGCCATAGAACGAAGGCACGTGGCAGACTTGATAATGAAGCGACCTTATCAGGAGCACAAGACCCTGGTTCTGTTTTATCACGGTAGCCGCAACAGACTATCCTACTATTTTGCAAAGTCTTCTTGGGACCCTTAGTTCCTGACATCACCGACATTGTCTCGAAATTTAAACGATCTCAGCGATCAACCAGCCAGCGCGGCTGATGTCCAGAATCAACGGCTCCCTCCGACTGGTAGGTTCACAGCATCAAAGCGCAACATCGTGGCATTCGTCATCTTATTTTTATGAGCTCTTTCATCGGCTAAACCAATCAAGTGCAGCGAATGCTCTGTGACTTGTGCTTTTAGCATATGTGCGTTGGCGGTTGTATGTGTTTGAGTTTTCGACTGTGCTCAAACCTAATACGAAACAAACAATACGGTGTCTAGAGATGCTGTGAAATTGATATTTTTACATTTTCATTTCCTTCTCCTTCTCCAAATATTCGACCAATAATAACAACCTTTTCTATTGCTTTAAAGGGGCCCAGCAAGGACTTTTTTACTGGTTTTTAATTTGCACCCAATCTGAGAGCACTGATTGTAGTAAATTAATGAAACTTTTGTTTTCTCAAATTTCGCTGTATTTTAAAAGTTATAGGAAAATTAAAATTACAAAAACAAGCAAAAAATAACCTCCTTCATGACGTCCTTGGTTGATTGAGGGGCTGTGAACTAGACAAGGTGTAGCGAGCTCAGCAAGCAGTCACGACTGCCGCACTCCGTGTCGACGGCTTGAAAGGGCGCCACTAAAGCATGTTCTGTATAGGCTGTATGAAGTGGGCAGCTAGTGCGGCTCGCATTGCATTTGCTGCCCGATTAAACACGCATTCTGCATGACACTGCATTGGCAACAAACCGCAAACAAACACGGGGTAAAGATCATTCAGAACGGGAGCCACTTCGTGCTGCCATACCGCCAAAAGGCCAAACCGCAAGCGAAAGCTGCTTGCCGCAGGCCTTGGGAACGCTCAAAACCGGTCAGATCCTCCAGTCTGTACGACCGCTGCGCCACCGCGTACATGTGGGACCTTTCTACGCTCGCCGCTCGTTGGCGCTTGATCTCACTACATCTTTCTAGTATGCGCCGCCTTTTCCACCGCTTGGTGGCAGGTATGCCGACGGGTCATTTCTTGTCTCCAGGTCAGGTCAGGTCAGACAACGTTTATTAAGAATGAAATTCAGCTGGCGGTTTACACTACGGTAGGGCCAGAGGGGAGGGGGTTATAAGGATGATGGAAGCTCGTAGGGTTGTAATTGTGGCAGCTACAAGTCTCTGCCGAGGTTGGCCGTCTTCAGAAAGTCGACCAGCGATCGGAGGATGAGGCTGCGTCGTTCTGAGTCTCCTGCCGGGTTTACCCATTCGTCGAGTGTTGAAGGTTTGTCTTCATGGTTGAGCGCTCCCAGGGCATCATTGCGTTCTTGGTCGAGCTTTGAACATTCCCAGACCAAGTGTTGAGTGTCTGCTCTGAGATTCTCTAGGCAGTACTTGCACTGGTCTGGTTTTGGTACAAAGTCCGGATTCTTCTTCTTCTTTTTAGCGTCCGCCCATTTCTTCGTTATTGATGGAGTGACTGCAGCTCCTGCTTGGAGTCTTCTTAGCAGGACGGATTCGTGTCTTCGGAATCCCTTGGGAAGGCTTTCCCGTGCCACGTCTTTGTGCTTGTCGATAGTTTTCTTTAGAGCGATCCTCGCTGCTTTAATTTCCCAAAAAGGGTCGTAAAAGCCGTCAGGTTCGCTCTTTGGAGACTCGATTGGTTGTGACATTTGTGGTGGATTTCGATGGGTTCGAGAGGGCGCGGGGGCTTCGGAGTGGCATTGAAGGCAGCGGAGGAAGGAATGAGTTAACTCTCCTGCTGCCTCGTTGGCTATCTCGTTGCCCTCGATCCCTTCGTGACCCGGGATCCAGCGTACCGAGGCTCGGATGTCGCGCATCCTTAGCTTGATGGCCATAGTCGTAATATTTCGAATCGCCTTGCACGTTTCTTAATGCGTCTTCAGTGAACGGATGGCGTCTTGGGAGTCTGTGAACATGATGATGCTCGTGCCGCATTGGGCTTCTTGTCCTAGTGCATTCAGGGCCTCTTCAATGGCCGTGATCTCAGCCTCTTGCGCTGTTCTGCAGTACGGTGCATGTTTTGTGCAAGTAGTTTTCGTGTTCCCAACGTACCACGCAAGAGCAGCATTTCCTCGTTCACTGAAGGCTGCGTCGGTGTAGCAGACGATGGTATGTGAGGCGTTACATTCGATGATGGCTTTTACTTCCTCGGCGTGCTTCATTGCCTTGTGTCACCGTCTTTCTTTGTTTTTTTCGCCGTTCATTTTTCGTGGTATAGGGGCCGATTGGGCTATGTCGATTCTCTCCCATGGTGGTAGTTGGTCTGGTATGGGTGTATTGTTCTCGAGTTTCCAACCAAGTAGTTTGGCGATTTCTCTGCCTTGCTTGGTGTGTTGCATCTTGACTCTTTGTGCTTGTTCTTGCGTGGAGGCCAATTCTTTCAGCGACGGAAATGGCACGCATTTGTGCAGTTCTATCAGTCTTGTTTGTCTCGGAAGGCCCGAAATACATCTTCTCGCGTCGTT